AGCCTCTCTCTTGCACACACAAACACACACCCGTCCAACTCACACGGCCATTTTCTTGGACAACTTCTCCTCCCGGGCTTGAATCTTCATCTGCTGGACCTCGATCGTGTCAGCTTTACGACGGCGGATAAAGAGGTCATGATTGCCCATACACAGCGCTAGGATCGTCTTGTTGATCCGGACGTGGGACGAGTTGAAGACGAAGTCCGGCGATTTCTTGTCGATGGTTTGATGATGAATTTGCGGTTGTGGAAGGTGATGTTCCGGATCTCGGACCAAGGAAGCCGATCTTCGGGGTCAGTCTGGGGAGGGGCGGGGAAGAGGAAGAAGAAAGGGATAGGCCTTCGTTTTTTTTGTTTTTTTTTTTTTTTTTTTTTTTTTTTTTTTTTTTTTTTTTTTTTTTTTTTTTTTTTTTTTTTTTTTTTAATAATGATAATAATAATAACAAGAATACGAAAAGGAAAAACTAAATAGATAACTAAAATAGGACGAAACTATCGTTACCAATGCTTAAAAAAAAAAAAAAAAATTATTGTACAATCCTAGCCTCTCTCTTGTACACACAAACACACAACTCACACGGCCATTTTCTTGGACATCTTCTCCTCCCGGGCTTGAATCTTCATCTGCTGGACCTCGATCGTGTCAGCTTTACGACGCCGGATAAAGAGGTCATGATTGCCCATACACAGCGCTAGGATCGTCTTGTTGATCCGGACGTGGGACGAGTTGAAGACGAAGTCCGGCGATTTCTTGTCGATGGGTTTGATGATGAATTTGCGGTTGTGGAAGGTGATGTTCCGGATCTCGGACCAAGGGAAGCCGATCTTCGGGGTCAGTCTGGGGAGGGGCGGGGAAGAGGAAGAAGAAAGGGATGAGGCCTTCGTTTTTGTTTTTTTTTTTGCTGCTTAAGAGTTTCCTAAATAGTCTTGAATAGTTTTCTAAAATGGATTCACAAATAGTTTTCCTAAAGAGTTGCTGGGTTTCTTAAATAGTCTTGAATAGTTTTCCAAAATGGTTTCCTAAATATTTTTCCTATATATGTGATGGGTTTCCTAAATGTTTTTTTATATTCATTGCCATTAGTTTTTCAGCTTGCTTTGCATTTATATCGTGGGGTATTATTCATTCCTTTGATCAGTTACTTTTTTATCATTTCCGTACGATCTCTGTTGTATTCTTTCTTTATATAATTTTTAATTTTTGAAATGTGAACTTGTCCGCGGCTCAAGATCAAGAATGATTATTGCTGAAATTCGCTAACGGATAGAATTGTATACGATGGGAGAAACAGAAAAGGAAAAGGTGAAAAAAATAACACTTCGCGATCGAAACAACGCCAGACATAAATATAAACAAATTGATAGTCAGTAATACACATAAATGAATATTGTCATTTTCCAAATGTTAATCAAAAATTGAGAAAAAAAGCAATTTATATCACTTCAACTTCAGATAAGAATACTTGCCTGTCACCTCGCTCGAAGACGTTGATGCCCAGGGCGTCAATACCAAGGGTGAGGTCCGTACCCTTCTTGTTCTTTATGTCGAAGTAGTTGACGCCGTACATCTCCAGGTCTTGGGCCAGTTTCAAGTAGTCCAGCATAGCTTCCTCTCTGGAAATGCAAATATAACGAAACTAAGTTTTGCCAATTTGGTGTTCTCGTGTGCATGGGATATACATTTTGTGTACCTGGAGACGCTGTTGTCCTTTTTTTGGGGCACTCGTCCCTTTTCCCTAAATATTTTGTTCTGTATTTAGAAATCGAAGTGAAAGACATTATCTAATTTTTGAAATACAGTTGGACTTATCCATCTTCAGAATCAGAGACAGCAACACCCATAAGAAAGAACGTCCAAAGTCAAGGACGCCCACACTCAAAGACGCCCATACCGACCTGATACGACCCTTGTGCTCCTTGTGCCACGTGGCAATCTTCTCCTCCCACGCGTCACGAGTCAGCTTGTGCTGGTCCAACACGCGCTGGGGGAGAAGACGGTCGTTGGCGAGGAAACCCGGCTTATGGTAGTCCTGGTTGAAGTCGCCGTACTTTGCCTGCACGGCGTAAGAGGCGAGGAGCACGGCTGCGTCGGGCGGGCAGTAGACCTCGTCGCTTAGGATGGCGTTCTTCACTTGCAGGTAGAACATCCGCTGTTCAACGAGGAGATGAAGTTAGAACAAAGGACTAGAACTAATGGACAATCTCTGAAAACTTGTTGAAATCTTGTGGTATTATGTTATCTTAAAAAACAAATGTGCTTGTGGTTGTTGTTTTTGTGTGTATCAAATGTTTTATTTATTTTTTTATCCATACCACAGTCAACGTTTACTTATGTTGTTTAATATAATAAACCTTTCAAATATTTACAGAATGTTTATAGCAGTCAAATTCTCAAAAAAAAAAAAATCAAATTTCTGATCTGATTGAATAGTAGACCGTGACCCAAAGAGCCCAAACAGCCTAATTATTCCAAAAGCTGCTAAATGCCTCACCAGAGT